TTATTCTCATCACCCTATGTTTTTCCCTTTTTTTCATTCTCGTCTTTTTTCAATTGACGTCACGTGTACCCACTTCTTCACCCTCCCCCTCACCTTCCTCCTCTTTCTCGTGACTCTCCCAAGCTCTAAGAACAACAACGGCTAAAACCACCTCTGGTAACCAGTGTAATGTAGGCATATAAACTTTTCTAATATTTTAATTAGAAGGTTTTTCTAATTTTATAACTTATAATCTGTTTATTTCCAGCAGTTGGAGAATCTAAATATCTCTTTGATGGGAAGATGAACTTGTCCAATATCTTTATCTCCAAGAGCAGGATCACTAGTGTTTTTAAAAAATTTCCAATAGGAAATTCGTACAGATTATATGAATTGTTTTCCTATTTTCTCCCCAAAGCAGATCTTATATCGAAAAAATATACATTATATTTTCATGATTACTGTGTTCAGGTCGAAACTAAAATTTTCACAAGGAGATGTAAGTATTAGCTAAAAAGGGTTTGGATTAGGGGAGGAGAATCAAAAAATGAAAAAGATGTTATGTTGAGTTGAGCATGAAACTATGTTTTGATGATTTACAAACCGTATTTGAGAAAAGGTTTCATGTTCCAGTTTGGTATGCTACTAGACTGGTGTTCAGATAAGAGATATGATTGTCGAGTGAGCCAGGTTCATAGCAAAATAATGAGTTCATGGCACGAAGGGTATTTTCGTGCAGGCGAGGACGAGGGACATGCCTTATGTTGTGATATCTTTTCCTTGTGTGTACATTCATGCCCTTACCTGGACTTATTACTGTTGCACCCATGTTATCTACGTGACTTGTCGTTGTTGTTCTGTCTTTGTCCTCTATCTCGGTTGTTGTTGTGTTGTCCATGCCTTCTATCTGTTTAACTGCAAATATCATGCCTCCCTTCCTGCTGTTATATCCACATCCATGTCATTTCTATTTTGTTACACTTTAGTCATGTTAGTCATTCATGCATCTATTTATTAGCTTATAAAAATCACGCTTTCCCTTCTTATTTGTTATATTTGCATCTATGCCTTCTACTATGCTAGTTAGGTGAAATTATGTTCTTCTTTCCTAATTGATATCATCATTCTTATGCCTCCTACCTAGTCTATTATTGTTGTCCATCTGTACTGCCTAGTTCATCACTGCTACCTGTGTATTTCCTACCTTTTCATTACTGTTATCGATATTTCTTTCACCTGGTTGGTACTGTTATATGTATAGTTGATGATGATGGCATAAATGCACGAAGGGTGTTGCCGTGCCATTTTATTTGCTGGTTATCGCTCTAAGGAGAGGATTGGTCATAATATTGAGGAATATTAATCGTGGTTCTTCTAGAAATTATCTACTGCTTCGCATATTTGTTTCTTGTACTCTATTCTTTCTATTGCTAGCCTTCTGTACAGGTTATATCAGTGAGTATCTTTTAACTAAAAAGTCTCGTCACTATTTCACCGAGGTTAGTCAAGATACTTACTGAGTACATGAGGTCGGTTGTACTCATACTACACTTCTGCACCTTGCGTGCAGATTTTGGAGTGGAGCTGCGGTGGATGTCGGGGGCTGACTCTGAAGATGTTCGTGCCTTCCGGATGTGGCTATCACTTATCCCTGGGTAGTTCTAGAGTTGAATTCTGCTTATGTACATTTCAAACAGAAGTTGTATTTATTTCATATCCGTTTTTGCAATAATCTAGTCTTGTACTATTAGTCCTTGGAATATTGTATAAAAATATATCATTTGTTGATCATCTTTATTTTATTAGAATTGTGTTAACTGTTAATTAGCTGACCTAACAGGTCGGGTTAGACGTCATCACGACTAGTGAATTTTGGTGAAAATGTAGGTATTAACAATTTATCGAAGTTTCTTTTCAGCATTGATGACAGTAGAAGAGGAACTGTTGAGTATGAATTCCCATTCACTTTACGCTTACAGGAAGTTATAGTGAGCAGACATCTGGAGAAAAAAAAACCCACTCGCCGTAATCTGATAGGAAAGACAAACATCAACCATTTTGATCCACTGGTCTTGATTCACCCACAAAAATGACAAACCACATGAATTCGTTGTGTTTATATTGTTCAATCAATGATATATAAACAACATTGAAGAGTGTGGCCTATATCATTTGCCCTAGCTCATTAAATTCGTACACTTTCATAGATGACATAAAAGACAATTTATGTAATATACTTTTTTAGTCTGTAATATTACATAAAAGACAATTTATGTAATTTTTAAAATAAAAATAATTTTATTTTAATCTTCTCATCCTATTCTTAATATTGTCATCTATAATCACATAGATTTTAAAACTATATCTTTATTTTTTAAACTTTGAGACGGAGAAGTACAGAATTTTTGACCCGTGGAGAGCGAGTTGATTCAAGGAGAGAGAGGTTTTTTTTTTGGGTGCTTAGTGGATGCCTAGAGATAAGAATTGTGAAAATCCGAAAAAAGTGAAAAAAAAATCAAATGAAAATGATATTTGAAAATTAGAGTTGTATTTGGACATGAATACAATTTGGGACTATTTTTGAATGTTTGTGAGTGATTTGAAGTAGGGGTGGGCATAAAATCCGAAAAACCGGATCGGACCGAATTAATTCGGTATTTCGGTAGTAATTCGGTATAAATATTTCAAAGGTTCGATACTGTTCTTGGTATTAAACTTTCGATACTTCGGTAAATCGAAATACTGAAATACCGAGATATTTCGGTAAGCCCAGCCCAACATTTCCCAACCCAAGTCCAAGTCCAAGTCCAACTGTACATTTCCCAACCCAACTCCAAGACCCATTTGCCGAACATATGCTGACATATATTCCATCAATTTAACGTTTAACATGTTACTATATTTTTGTAAGTTATGTCCTATCTGAATGCTAAACTAGAATGCAATACATGAAAAGTTTATACAAACGCTAACTGATTCTTAAAGCCTCTTGCAGCTGCATTTCCCTTATCTCTCAATGATGAAATATTCATCAACTGCCTTGAACTAGAAGTATATATACACATAATATGTAGTTAAATTTTATCAAAAATTTAGATATATGTAAACAAACTTTATCTTCACTCACAAGTTTTAAAATCCTAGATCCTGGTATTATTGAACCTACTCAATCTTATTGTAGTGAGGTGTCAACCTGTGAACATAGGCCAAGACAAATTGGAGGGTACGTGGATATGTTATATCTAGGAGTCAATGGATATTCGAAAATCGACTAAACCGACCGAATCGTATCGCACCGAATCGATTTTTAGATTTCTTTTTAAGAAACCGTAGGTTTTTATATAAATCTATAACCGCGCCGATAATTAGGGTAGGTTTTTTATTGTATAAAAATAAACCGAAAAAATACCGAACCGTACCGAATAAATTTTACATGTGGAAAATATATTTATCTAGTAAGTTTAAAGATAATAATGCATTAAATTTTTCTTTAGACCTTGGAATTATGAAAACTATTACAAACCAACAAGTAATTAAACTCAAAATACTAATTCCTAAAACCTATTATGCTACTTCTACTTAAACTAAGTTATTTCAAGTATCTTTATTAGCAAGACATAAAGTATTTTAGAGATTATGAGTAGCAAACTACAATGTATTGAATATGTTTCCTTGATATAATTTTTGAATATTTAATCTTCTATAGACTTTATTCTTGAGTCCCAACTTGGTTAATATCTTTCCACTTGTGTAATTTATATTTTCTTTGTCTTTGCTTGGTTTCTTTTACGTTATTGTAGAATAGTTGATGGATCTATACTCTAGCCATCTTTATTTTTTTTAATTCATCACTCTTTAAGCAATAAAAATGTCTAGAGAGTTTTGCTAAGTCCTATAAAAGAACGTATGTTATTGCATTCTACTTCTACTAGTGTATTTTACATGATATTTAAAAAAATACTGAAGATTAACCGAACTGTACCGATACCGAAGAGAAACCGACATGATTGAGATGGTTTCGAAAAGTCAAATTTTGGTTATCCATAATAGAATAACCAAAAAATTGGTATGGTACAAATTTTATAAAATAACCGGCCGAACCCAATCATTGACACCCTTAATTAAATCTCATGGTGTGTTCTTTCTACCAAACAATCAATATGGTAAAGATGACTGCAAACTAAAAATGCCACAACAAAGGGCTCGCTAGAGGATATATAATGCTATTGAGTAATACGACAGAACATATATGTGAAGAAATTATTTTTTCTTTGAAAATTATATAAAGAAAACTAACAGCTATTTTACCGAGCCTTACCGAAAATGTAGCAAACCAAACTAAGAAATATCGAACCGTACCGAACTATATTGGTACGGTATTTGGTATGCACAATTGATATACCGAATACGAACTACCGAACTGAAGTTCTTAAATTCCGTACCAAAATACCGAACGCTCCCACCGCTAATTTGAAGTGAAAATTTTTAAAAAAATAACTCTTTGGAGTTTTTCAAATTTTCAAAAAATTTTAAACTTTAATTCATGTGAAATTTAAATTTTTCGTGATAAAATGCTAATTTCAAAAAAAAATTATCGCTAAATGGGCCCTTAGGACCCGTTTGTCCAAAGATAATTTTTTTCCTTTTTAGAATTTTTTTTTTTAAAAATATGTTTGTCCATAAAATTTTACAAATTTTTGAAATTTTTTTGAAAATGAGTTTTTTAAATAAACCACTTTTTCAAAAAGTTTTGTTTTCTTGTAGTAAACTGTAATATTTTTTCAAATAAAATGGATATTCAAATATAATTATTCCAAATATTATTTTTTAATTTAACTCCAAATATTTTTTTTTTTAAATTAAATTTTTATGTTCAAAGGCCTACTTAGTTTTGTTTCGTTCCAATTAGATCTATGCAGCCTCGCAATCACGTGTTCAGATTCATTTGCCAGCACATAAAACTCAATCTCATTATTTGGACAAAAAAAAGAAGCTGGACGGAAAAGCAAGGGTGAGAAAAGAAGTCCAAAAATCAAGTCAGTTTTCTCTCTCTGTCCATCACTATCATGAGTCATCTTCCCTTCCCCCACACGTTGATTATGTAAAATCAGCCGCAACAACAATAGTAATTTAGTATAATTCTATTAGTGGAGTTTGAGAAGAGTAATGTGTATGCATATCTTATTTCTACCTTAAGTTAGAGAGATTGTTTCTGATACATTTTCGTCCTCTCGCTCCAAAAACTCCCCACCTTACTCTTGGAGTGAAACGAACTCACAACTTATTAGTCGAAGGCGGACGGCGATCACTTCCAACTAAGATTGGCCAAAAGTCATGTGGGACTGGTTGTGCTTCTTCTTCTGTTTCTCTAATTTCAACCCCACCAAATACTATTACCCTGACCCTGAGAACCAGAATTTGCTCCCACTTCAACATGATCAAAACCAAACCCCACCATCTCCACTTTCCTTTTCCACAATGATTCTCACGTCTTGGCTAAGTCGTCGCCGCTTCCGGCGCTACTTGTGTCTCCTTCTTTGCTCTCCTTTTCTTCTTCCTCTCTTCTGCGCTACTTTCCCTTTTATTTGTGCTGCCGAAATCTGCTACCGTCTATATCATCGCCGCCGCCGATCAACGCCATGGGAATCGGTTATAGATGGAACTTGTCAAGAGAGTTTGTTGTTGCAGAGATATCTGGAAGATCAACTGCTTCTTGTGTATAATTGTGGATTTGGAAATGAAGATGAACTGGAAGATGGGCTCGATGTGCAATTTATAGATTGTACAAGCCCTCTTTTGCAATAACGGAATAGATCGCAGAGAGATCTTTGTTTTCTCTCTTTTCTTAGTTTTTTTCTTTGGGTTTTGTATATAAAAGTTAACGTTGACAATTCTTATATATTCTTATCAAAAGAACGGCGAATGAATGGAGGAAAGGGATCATATTCATGTTAATATCTGAAATTCAATCAAATGGAAGATTTTGATTATGCATTCTTTTAGACGGGGATAATCCAATTCGCTAAAAGTTGCAATTTTTGTCCCTTGGGAGTTGGTATATATATTTATTTTGGTTCTCATGATATCATATTTCACCTTTGCTTCATTAATTTGCGTACTATTCGCTCTCAAGTATCAACATTTCACGTGGATTGACTATAAAATTTTCAAAAATTAATTGACATTTAAAGATCCCTCTGGCTCTCCCTCAATGTTTCACTAGCGATATTTTATCAAAACCCAATATTTATTCCCCCTCCCCTCCCCCACAGGCCACACCCACACCCACAAAAAAAAAAAAAAAAACACTCCCCAAACAAAGGGTCTATCAATTCAACTAATTATGTACATTGTTTCTAACTGGGAAATTTACTTAGGTATACTATTATATAAATTTATTTATCACTTTTCTTTAGATTTTTTAAAAATTACATTCTCCATCTATATTTATTACTTTTATACAAAATCTTTATAAACAGAGTGTCCCTTAAAATTAGGATGTAACTGATATAGCCCCCTCCTCCAACGTCGCCCCATTCTCCTCCCCTTCTCACTCTCATATATATCAATTATACAAAGCCCCCAAAATCACGTTTTCATGATGTTTTCAAAAATATTTCAAAATATTTCTTTCTCTTTCCTACAAATCAACCCAAATCTCTTTCTCGTCACACAAATTCATCGACATTATCTCTAAAATTGCAGCAACAATGAGTTCTCATTGACATCCATTAAAAAGATTCGAAACTTTAAATTCAATATTTAGGTTTTATGAATATGTGATTTGTTTGGATTGAGTGTTCTTGCAAATGAATGCGAATATACTTGGGGTTTATATCTTAATTTTGAGGGAGATTAGTTAAGTTTAAATTTGGTTTTAGGTAACTTCAGATTAAAACTCGAAGAAGAAAAAGTTTTAAAATTATATCACGATTGTATGATAATTGTATCGCAACTGTATCAATATTCGAGTTTTACAAATTTGTGATATGTTTGGATTGGATGTTCTTACAAACGATTGAGAATATACTTTGGAGTTTATATCTCAATTTGAGAGAGATTGGTTAAGTCAAAAGTTGATTTTAGGTAAAATTTCAGATTGAAACTCGAATAAGAAGAAGTTTCAGAATTGTATCATGATTGTACAATAATTATATGATAATTGTATCACAATTGTATCGTAACTCTTTCAGGACTATAACATAACTATATGATAATTATATCTGAATTGTATCTGATGCATCAATACATGCATGAAATAGTATCTGATATAACACTATTACAAGTATAATACAATTTTTCTATTAGACGAATCATATTAGTTTTTTATTGTTTTGAATGACTTTTGTATGTGATGTGTTCTTCTTATTTGATTTTCAATCTAAAAATAAAAGCTAAGATTATTGGCGATTTTGTGCTGGTTATGGAGTTTGTTGCTGGTTTTAGGTGGAATTTCATATTAAAACTTAAAGAGGAAGAAGTTCGAAATTGTATCACAATTGTATCATAAGTGTATGATAATTGTATATGATACATCAATATGTAAAACAACCTGATACAATACTAATACAAGTATAATAGTAGAAATGACACATATAGCCACTCTAAAGAACTGCTATTTAGGAATTAACCAGTAAATCCTGAATTTTAGTTTTTCAGTTTAATTTTCTAGGACAAAAATGTCCTAAGTTAAGATTTTTAGTTTAAAATTTCTGGACAAAATAAATACTTAATCTCTAAATAGCGTCCCTGAGAACGACTATCTGTTGCACTTGTCACATTATAATACAACATTATATCATAATTGTATAAGAAATTTATAAGAGTTGTTTCAGAATTGTATTAAAATTGCCTCAAAATTGTATCTGAATTGAATTTGATAAATCAATACCTAAAAATATTACATGATACAACTGCTAAATCTCAGGTTCGTTCATTTGTGAAACATATATTAAGTATATAGAGACTTATTGGATTTTTTATTCGTAACTCCATTAGACTGTAGACTATTGAGCCTACTTGAGATGAGGAAAGAAAAAAAAGGAGAAAGACGAAAGCTTGGCAAATTTGGGCTGCCACTCAACCCTCAACAGCAGTCAAATGTCACTACAATTTGCGTAGAAGAAGAGGTAGAGAGGAGTGGAGAGAAAAAAAAGGAAAGCATATGGGCTGTTATCTGGCCTAATGGGCTGTTATCTGGCCTGCTCTGTCCAAGCACAGATTGGCAATCGAAGGATGGACTGTGTGAGTTTGGATTTATAGAGCAACGAACAACTTTCACTCTGTGCAGTGGAAGGATAACAGATTGGCATCATCCAGGCCTAACAAATGCCTGATTAGTTGCTCCAATTAAATCATCACTTTTTCCAAAAAAAAATTAGTTTCTAAATAAACTATACTCCTGCTTATCCAAACTAGTTATGTGATATAATATAGGGCTTCTGAAAAAGAAATACTATCTTATATTTTCCAAAAAAAAGGGAAAAAGTTGCAGACACCACGCGCGAACTGTTAACACCTCGCTTGACATCTAGTGGTATATAGGATATATATAAGTATTTGAAGGTTTATCAAACATATTGCAATATAAAATGTCTATGCACGTCTTTGTGGAAAAGTTGTCCGGCCTGGTAATTAACACTAATCTTTGATCATTATCTTTTAACACAACTGGTACGTGGCTTAGTGGTCCTTATATTACGTAATACACATATTTTAATTGATATTTCGTATATACCCTTGGTTTTGATACCATGATTTAAATAATGGGAGGCTTGATTTGGTGAGTGTAAAGATTTTCTGCACAATATAAATTTTAACTTGTGATCGCAATTTTTTTAGGTTAGTTCCATTTTTACCAGGTTATTAGTTAATCGTTTATCCACAGATTTACCTTTAACTTTTTTTTTTTAATGATCTGTTTGTGTATATGATTTGTAAAATGTATAGAAGTACTTAAATTCTTCTCACTGTCATTTTTATTTAGAGGCACGATTATTTTTAATTAGCGTCATGGCATGGGTGGCATCAATCAAAATGTTTCGTTGTAATTTGATTTTTTTTTTGTTTTGGAATGTATATTTTTTGGAAATACAACATATACAAAGTTGGTATCTGTCTCTCTTTCTGGTAAGTAAGTAACTTTATAAATTACTAAGTAAAATATTTACAAAACATAGCTTAGCATAAAATATATAACTAGCTAATCCCTAAAGAGAGAAAAAAAAACAGAAAACGGCTACTAAGTATGGGAAAAAATTTTATGGTATGACTCATACAACTGACATTAATTAATTATGTGAGGCCACAAAATCTTAGGTCTACAAAATTATGAAATAAAAAAGAGACTTGTGTTAAGGCACAAAATAAACTTTTTAGTATCGTGGCTATCAGGTTATAAGGTTAGTTGATATCTGTCTTGTCGTAACTTACGGTGAATTTTCTTCCCAATTGTTCAACCGCTAAACAAATTTCTAAAAGAAAGAAAGAATTTTGAGCATTTTTTTGCTCTTCTCATTAAAATCATAAACTATTACTCTATCAGGTAAAAAAAATTAAATAAAATATGGATGAATGATCTCTATCTACAGTTTTTGTTACAGAATTTGTTTTTATAATTATTTATATCTAAGCTCTATGGAAATCATTGTGCAATGGTGAATTTGGACCGAGTTTCTTGTGTAGAGCCTTTTCCGAGTAAATTGTTGAATTTTGAGGACTTCTTCTATGCTTACGATCAAGATGATGATGATGGTGTGGGCTATTTTCTTTCTTGATCGTTTTCTTTTGGTCTTCCTTTCCATTTTCTTTGCACAATTCTTTCACTTCGGCTGGAGCAATATACACAAATGTCATGTTTGAAATATCCTTATAATCCTTCAATGGTTCAAGGGTTTTTACCACTGAAGTCATTTCTGGTCTAGCCTTTGGCCTGTGACTTAAGCATTGGTAAGCTACTAATGCTGCTTTTTGTGCTCCTTCTTCCGAGTATAAACCTTCTAGCCTTGGATCCATTATTCTACGTAGTTTTCGGGGATCTTTCAGTTGAGGTCTTGCCCAATCTGCTAAATTCTGCTCTCTATTTGGACGAGTTTTATCAACTGATCTTCTACCAGTTAGAAGCTCCAAGAGTACTACTCCGAAACTGTATACATCACTTGCTGCAGTCAAATGACCTGCAAAATTTTTAAAATATTCATTAATAGGTGGACCGAAAATCACGGCACTCACTACTACTTGGTGAGACTTTGTATAAGTATATATATTTAAAACATTTAAAATATTAATAATGAAATCTGAGATATTAAGCCATTAGGTAAGAATATCATGGTACCCACTACTCTTTGATGACAATCAATGAAAGACTTAGTGTAAGTATATATTTCATACATTATATAGTTAATAATTGTATACTCCTAGTTTAGTTAGAACCTAGCTACCTCTGCGGTTCGTGACTACAATGGATTAGGCACTGTTTCATATATCTAAACAGATTATAAAATTTCCCTTCGACCGTGCAAAATAAAAAAAAAGAAATTAAAGAAATAATGGTGAAATGATCAATGAATATTTACCAGTCATGAGGTATTCAGGAGCAGCGTAGCCTTGGGTCCCCATTACTCGGGTGGAGACGTGTGTGTCATCTCCTTCTGGACCATCTTTTGCAAGACCAAAATCTGAGAGTTTGGCACTGTAATCCTGGAGGACAAAAATTTAATTAGTAAATATATATATATGTAAAGAGAAGTTACACTATGTATCATGTTGTTAGCTTTAGTACTTTTCTCAAGATCATTTAGTTCCACTATTTAATTTATGGGCAGTTACATGTAATATTAATCTTTAGATCACTTGATAGTTTAATTAAAAATTAACTAACACAGGAACTTACCGAATCTAACAAGATGTTTGAAGCTTTAAAATCACGATATATGACTGGTTTTTCAGCTTCATGGAGGAAAGCAAGACCTTTTGCAGCTCCAAGTGCTATTTTCATCCGCGTTGACCATGGAAGCGATACTGAATATCCTGCAACATCAACAATAAAGCTAAGTTATTTAATTGAACAATCATTGTTTTATGTTTTATTTTTTCTGAATCTTGTATTTCAATTCATTCGTGAAACAACGTAACGTGAACAAGTTAATTTTTTTTCTTTTCATTTTGGACAAGTATAATCCAAATAAATAATGAGCTGAACTGGCAATTGCTTTTTAACCAAACTTTATTTGACTGATTCGGAGTTGGTAAAGGGAAAGAGTGGACCAATCTGTGGTCAATTGTCACACATTTACACTGTAACTGACCTTTTCCAATCCTGTTTTTCTTCTCCCTCTTCAAATTTCTAAATTATACTAATATTGATCACAAGTTGGATGAGTGCTTTATGTGGGATACAGCTACTTTTAAAGCAGACTGAAGTTCCAAAAGCCAAAATTGACCTATAACAATAAGTAACTTCCTATATATATATATATATATATATA